TATATATATATATATATATATAGGCCTATATAATAAACGTGAAAGACAAACATTAATGCTCTCAAACTCAAAGTAGAGTAGAATAGCCCAAGTAGACCTATTCCGTGTGAGAGGTGTAAGAACTATGGGAGGGCAAGATGCAGAGATACTGAAAATCTGCGAATCTTGAACAGAAAGCTAAAATATAGAGATCTAATTTACTGTCACCAATCCTATGAACGTGAACACTCAGGCCCCTAAGTTCAATAACACGCTAACAAGTTATGACGGTTCCCGATTTTACACAAGGCCTGCACCAACGCACACTTTACTTTGCAGAGAGCTGTAGTAGTAATCAAAATTCTTAACATTAAACATTTGCTTCCTGTTTCAGTTTCTTTGTCCTCTGGTGTTGCGTCCAGCCCTCCCCCTATCTGTGAGTGTGTCTTTAACAAAATCAATCACCCCCCCCCCCCCCCCATTCCTGAACTTCGCAGCGCTCAGAACGCGCGCAGGTTCATTGACCAGTCACAATGGCGAGCCCGACAAGACGCTTGTATAACTTTCTTTCCTTTTTTTTTTTGTTGCCCCCACAAGTGACAGCACAGTGACAAATACTGATTTATTTTCATGGCGACACCACGTTTGTAATGCCGAACCTGCATGTTACAATAAATGTTGCGTTATCAAACTATTACTGACAAATTTCTGGGTGGTAACGAAAGCGAAAGTAGATCTTCATTTTCCAGTCGAGTCTTGGTGACACAAATCCGCTTGCCACCAAAACCGCCAGTTCGCGTGAAACGTACTCTCAGAGCCGAATTAATATCACAATCGCGACCGGCAGAAATGAACTTAAAGATGTTATTGGATTTCGTTTTCAAATATTCGAGACCTTTTATGTATTTTCCCAGGTCTCTGCAATTTTTTAAAAATTCCAGGTGCCTGGCAGTCACCCTGCTCCCAACAACTCTCTTTCTGATTGGCCCGCTGTCACGGTAGCGGAGACCCATGGAGTATAAATATCATAACTCAAAAAAAAAAATGGAATAATGCTTTCAAATAAAAATCTGCGCATTCAAAAATTAATGAATTACACTCTTGGGCAGTATATGATAAGATAGCCATGCTGATTTGCTTTCACATGTTAGGTGAATGTAATTTTTGCCATCAAAATTTATTTTTCTCATCATCATTTCTAACCATTGTAATGTATACTTAAGTTCAAAATTAATCCTTGTTTCATGTTGGAATGAATTCCTGATTCAATTTCCTTCAATTTCATATATCATACGTTACGTTTTGAGTCAGTTTTGCTTATATTAAGTTATTTTGTACACCACCTGTGTAGCCAAATCGAGCCACAAGTCAATTACGTCTTGACCCAAAAAAAACTACGTCCGGAAAGAGTTAAGTAGCTTAGATGGATGCACTGCATACAAATCGACAAAACTTAAAAACCTGTATGTGTATAGCAAGACTTTATTTTTTTTTCTTTTGTGCAGAGTATGCCTCATCCCTTTTGAAAACAAAAATCACAGCGAACAAGCTACAGAATCTAACCTATAAAAAATTCAAGAGGACAGAGAACAAGACAAAATATGTAACTACATCATGAAACAATTTACAAGTAACATAAACTGTACTAGGGTAAATCGAAAGCAAGGTGCGTATCTCTGCTTGAAAATTTCTGCAATAAATTAATTCCATCAACTTCTCCTTGATCAAATGAAAAAGTGTCCGTCGCAGATCAAAATTCCGTTCCAAAATACCATGTATGACCAAAGTCGTTATTTTCAGACCTGAACTCTTCAGTCTACACAGATAGTAAGTAATTTCGAGCTAGTCTTACCGGCTTCCACGTTACAGCACTGACAAACTCTGACGAGTCATCATCTTTGCCAGGCTTCTCCTGAAAGAAAAATAACAATACAACCATAGAGAATTTTTAAAATTTCTTTATTCAAACATGTGTAGGCCTACCCGTTCTTGGGTTCTCATCAGAGAAACCATATCTTTGCCATTACTTTATCCACATATATGCAATTGTGCTTCTTTTAGTTTATACATATTATGTGCATGTGCTTGGAAAATTAAAAGACACAGAAAAAAGCCAAAGTAATTAATACTTTCAGGTTGATTCAAGAGTTGAAATATCATTACTTATTCTAGTCACATAGTGAAATACTCTATGATACATTATTGAAAATAAAATCTAAAATTTCAAATTTTGAAACACAGCAGAAGCCACAGTATAAAAATGTGGGTAACTATTTCATGCTGCGAGAGGAGAGACAAACAGACAAACAAAATGTGCAGTCAAAGAAATCAGTTGTGATGGTGAGAGAGACACACAGTGACAGATAAAGACAGAGAGAGAGAGAGAGAGAGAGAGAGAGAGAGAGAGAGAGAGAGAGAGAGAGAGAGAGAGAGAGAGATAACTCACAATAAGTCTCCGAGCCGGCTCAAACTTGTATGTGAGGATATGTTTGGATAAACCTTTGTAGTAGAGGTAGAGAGAGTTGTTTTCACTGCCTGAAAAGATTGAAAAAAAAAAGAGAAAAAAATAAATTCATGTAATGATACATAATGCCTAAAACAGCTGTTCCATTACAGTAGCTTGTTAACTCTTTTAAAACCAGTATTTATCAGAAAAAGAATAAGTGGCACAAATTTGATAAGGTTACGGTAATGGTGCCATACCCTTTAAATACCATCTCACATTTTTTCGAGCAATAACAAAAATTCTCACATGTGTTGCAACACGCAATGGGCTCATATACACACTGTAACATTATTAATAATGCAGGTGCTTTGATTTAAAGTTCTACTTTTGATACGACCTTGCCATATGTTTTGCTGTGCAAACAACCTATTTGGATCTTGAAGGGAGACCTATAATTTCACACCCCCTGCCCCCTTTCCTCTTCATATAGCATAAAAATAAAGAAGAACAGTTTATATCACACAATCCCCCCCACCTTTCTCTTCATATAGCTTAAAAACAATGTAAAAGGCCATGGGAGAAGGGGAGGAAGTAAGAAAAATGCATCTGAATTTGGTATGTCTTTAGCACCTACCACAAGCAATGTAGTCTCCATCGGTGGCGAGCCCGACAAAGTTCTTCTCATTAATGTGACCTTGGAAGGTTGAGATGGCGTTGTGTCGTCCCACACTCCACAGCTTCAGCTGGCTGTCGGTCGAGCTGGACAAAAAAAAACATTACAAATTGTGTCAACAAATCATCTTGGAGAGGCAAGGACAATATGTGTGGCATCGTGGTAAAATAAGGCCCTCGACAAATTAATTAAATTTATCAATTTGGGGGGGGGGGGGTTTATGATCCATTTAAAATACATTTGTAAGAGAATTTTACGGAAAAATGTTGATAAAAGGCACAAAAAAAGTAAATTTGCAGTTTCCAAGCAACTCGAACATTTCTGAATTCATCATCTAAATTCAAAAAGGCCAATACAGTCATTTTTGCATTCAAAACTCTTCAGAAAAACATAACAACACATATCGTATAAGACAAAGTAAAATCTATTTTAAAAAAGGCAAGGAAATATCAAATAACAATAAATCAACAAATAGTGACAGGTGACAGACGTCAGTCAGAAGGGCTGTTGTGAGACTCACGCGGAGACCATGTCCTGTCCATTGAGGAACTTGACATAAGACACAGCCTTCCCGTGACCCCTGAACACAGACACCGCCTTTTTGGGGTTGCGGAGGTCGTAGTAGTGCACACAGTGGTCTGAAACAGTTAAAAAGTTTACATAATGTAACTTTCATGGGCTTTTCAAATTAGAATAGCATTTAATGTAAGAATATACAACAAAAACATTCAAATGGCATACAGCTGTTAGTAGTTATCAGTTAACTTTCGGCATCACTACTTGACCTCAAACTGAATGTACAAGCAACTTGAGGATGGTTATAAAGTCCTTGTCTTTGTGAGTGCGTGAAAAATAAAAGTGCTATAAAATTTTTCATTTTTAAATTTAATCAATTCTAATTCACCTCAAACCTATGGCACAGTAAGTAGCTGAGAACAGTTAAGCAAATTAATGAAAAATGTATCATCATCAATCTCATTTTTCTGACACTTGTGATAAACTTCCGACCAGAAAGCCCAGATGTACATGACCTCACCTGCCGAGCCAAAGGCCAGGTTGTAGCGTGTGGTGGGGTTGAACTTGACGCAGCACACATTGGCCCCGCCCTCAATAGTCATCACAGAGTGAGGGCGGTCCCAGTCCCAAAGCTTGACTGCTCCGACACACACACACACACAACACAGGCAGGGTCAAGGAACAGAGAGATAATAATATTAATAATAATAATAATAGATAGCATTTCCATAGCACAAATTCCGACTCAACAGAAAAACCCTATGCGCTTTACAATCGATATTATTACCCCAGCGAACCTGATAGCATTCTGAAACAGTCTTAACTTCCAGGGAAGCATACAGTGCAAGCTGCCATTTTTTAAGTACTAGATCACTAATATATTGACAAGATCTTTCAATGTCTATGGCCGGTTGCCCATTCCCACCTGGGTGAAGTGAGGAAAATTCGTGTAAAGTGCCTTTCCCAAGGACACAACGTCGAGCCTGAGGCTCAAACCACCGAACCCAAAACCTCACAATAACTAGTCTGCTGGCCTAACCACTAAACTACCGACACAACAAAGGAAGAAATAATCAAATCATTTTCAGTCATAGCATTACGCTTTCAAAAGATACAAATGAAAATAAAACCGCCGCCATAATTGCTCACATTTATCTCACTCTCTTTCTCATCTTTTTTTTCTTTATCTCTTCTCAGTACAATAAAAAGCACTGAAAAAGCTACCATGAGAAAATACAAAAAGACACAGTTTAAAGAGGCTGTTTTACTGCTATTGAATATCACAAGAGGCTGAAATACTTGATCTACTCTTCACAATCAGAGCACTCTTTGGCAACAAATTTCTATGAATTTTCAAAATAAAAGCTACAGTAAATTTTTTTAATAGTTGAAAGCCCACCTTTTGTGTCATCAGACCCTGAGGCCAAAAGTTTTGGATCCATACGGTTGAAATCCACACTCCAGCATCTTTTCTCATGTTCCTGTATGGTGATAAAAAAAAATTTTTTTAACGCGGACAATACAAGACATTATAAACCATTTTGCACAAAAAGAAAAAAACAATTTAGGAGCTTCCCAAACTCAAAATAACAAAATCTATAAATACTACTATTCAAGCATCAGTCTTCCATATCAAAGCCTCTATCAACGTCAGAAAAAGTAAACACCAGGAAAAAAGTCACAGGCTAGACAAGAAACAGGTTCATAATGACAGACCAAATTTTGAAGTCCAGCCTAGAGGATCTGAGGTAGGAAACAGACGTTTTGAATTTCAGCAGGAGGAACAAATCCTCTATAAGTGGAAAAATACAGTCATCAAAGTCATAGGCACATACACTGGATTTATTTGGGTGTATCTAATTTTCTTCCACCCTTCTTTACAAGAACACTTTGTAAGACTCATTGTAAGTTTATAGTCTGTTCCTGTACTGTAGTGACACAATTTAGATCACTTACGAGGGAGGCTGCTATGACCCTATGAGCCAAGGCCAACTTGAGCTGAGAGGGGTACAGCAGAAATATGCCTGCTAAAATAAATTTACGAAAACAGGAAAACTTTAGAGGATGGACGAGAAGAGCCAAAACATTACACCGCCAACGCCTGTGAACTATTTGAGTCTAGAAAGGTACGAGACTCATCCAATAGTGCGATGTACGTCACCTGGAACATCTGTATACGCTGGTTGGTGCTGGTGTCCCACATGTAGACGATGCCGTCGTAGTCGGCGCTGCTCAGCAGCTGCTTCTTGTACGGGTTCCAGGCAATACAGCTGTCAGACAGAAGGGACAAAGGTAGCCAAAAACAAATATGAGTGTGCACAAAACATGGAAATGAGCTGCAGTTTAACATAACTGAACGCTTTTGACAACAGCCACATTTTGCTAAAAAAATTATAAAAACAAGGGTAACCTTAAAAGAAACGGAAGAAGTAAAGTAGATTAGAATGCCCACCAGTATCCCACCCAAAAGAATTGTTGAATTTGTGTGGAGAAAAGTGAAATGACATAGAAAAGGTAATTTAATGTTCAGCAAAGGAAGAATACAAAGGACCTACCAGTAGCAGCCTTCAGCAACCCACGGATAGAAAGAAATGGGGAATCTTTCAATATAAAGAACCCTCCACCCCACCCCTCCAGAACAAAAAGCCAATCACATATAATTATAAGGTGGGAAAAAAAAATAGTCACCATTACACTGACCTGATTTTGGAGGCACAGCTCATCTCAGTGATGGGGTAGTGCAGGTCGACCACCGCCTCCCGCACCACGCCATACTCAAACACTTTGATCTTCTTGGTCACTCCCGCGATGGCGAAGTACTCACAGTCGCGGTCAAACTCAATGCTGAGGGGGCAGGTGAAAGTGAACAGGAGGGTTGTTTACAGTACAGATGCCAACAGAATGGACGAAATAATCAATGCATTATGTACTGTTAAGACTTAATGAAAACAAGGCAGATCAAAGAAGATAGAAGTGGATCACAAGGGATATTTTTCGTTCTGTACAAGAAGAATTTTACTCCCTTTTCGAAACAAAGCAAGTCCATTATATTTTTTCAACCAATTAAAAAAAAAAGATATAACCAAGTTCTTGAATTGTCCAAAGGTATACTTTGGAAAGAATAAGGATGTTAAAAAAAAAATATATATATATAAAAAAGTACAGGTACAAAATGGACCAGCAAACACATGCCAGAGCTTGATATCCTTACCTGGAGACAATGGAGGAGCTGTTGGTAAAGACCTCATGTGTGTAGTTGAGGCTGGCCACAGCCCGTATAGCTGTGTACTGGGAGAACTTGGACAGGCACATAGCAAACTGGTCCAGGCTGCCCTCACCATCTCCTGGAACATCAATTTAGTTTTAGTAGAGGTTTTTCGGGGTTTGCAACAGCATAAAGTCGTATGAGCACCAAGGGGTGGATGTCAACAGAGAAGTCCTTACAGGGAATCAGACATACTCTGCTCACCTCTCTAGCTTCAACAGCACAAAGTCTGCTTCGACTATCAAGGCACCCCGGAAATAGCGGGTCACAAGAGTGTGACAAACATACAAAAGAAGTAGAGGAAAAATGATGATAGTAAAAATTAGGAAAGAAAAAGCAGCAATTCCCTGTTGCAGTTCAGGCACAGTTATGAGAAAGACATTGATGAATCAGCCCATTTACAATTACAATTCTACTGTGAATAAGAACTCGAGATTGTCCCCCCCCCCTTTGGGAAAGGCCAAAAGACACTTCAGTCAGTAGCACCGCCCCATGGAGTGTGGAACATCAATGTGCACACTTGTGAACACACAGAGCTTGTTCAGGTTTTTACCACTTTTAGTACCGTCGGGTACTGTAGTCGCCAGGCCATAGTATGCATTCATTCGCGCTGGCGACTTTAGTCACCAACTCGACCAGCCACACTGCGCACAAACAGAGCCACAGCATTGAAGCAAACACCAAAGGAAATCACTCTATATCATAGCAGAATGATTGATAAACCTCAGTGAATTTTAAAAGCACGTTTGATTGGCTGAAAAGGATTTTCAAAATTATTTAAATATTCTACCACACCTTCACCATTCTAAACTGGTAGGGTACTTGAGGGTTTTTCACTTATGAGCCTTCAGTATAGAAAATGTTAAAGGTGCTGATTGTTATTTAGTTTCAGTTGCCGTGAAAGTTTTACAGCACTTGCAATACACTTAGGTCATATGCATGCTGAAGATTAAATGTATTACTAGAGAATAACATACAAAGAAAAGTAGGAGAGATAAGGACGATAAACGTTTGATGAGAGAGAAGAGCAAACCACACTAGAGCATCCGCCAACCACCCCCTGCATTTAGATGGAAAAATATGCACCTGGAATTTTAACTAAACATTACTGAAAACTTTCTTTCTCTCGTAGATAGTCAAAGAGACACAAAAGAGGTCATTGTAAAGTTGTAGTTTGTAGTTCACAGTACGTCAACAAGCTGATTACCATGTTCTCCAGGAGACATTTTGAGTAGAGAGAGGCGCATCAACATGACAACAATCATTTAGTGCAAGGGGAAAAAAAGACAACAGGGATGAAAAAGAAGTTGAATGTACCAGGAGTGGCCTCTACTCCTTCCCCCTTTCCCTCCCCCAATACGCCAGGAACGAAGTAGAACAACAGAAAACACGGAAAAGAAAATTACAAAAAAGTGAAAAAAGCAAAGCAGCCAGATGAATACTTCAGTTCATCAAACGTAAGCGGACAAATACTACCACAGACATCGTCTACAAGACTTGTCATTAGTGCGAAATTTTTTAACATACTTGCAGAAAAATGATGAAACATAAACTATCTTCCCCACATGGGAATTGAAGTCACATACTTTCTGTAAAAAGTGAAGGACTTCATCATTTCACTTCAGATCTGGCTATTGCCCGACAAGCATAATAAAGAAAAAAAAATAAACCATCTCCTTTACAAAAACTAAATAGTTACAGACCCCAGTAGTACTTCAAAATGTTCACAGCCACAAATCCCAACAGCACACAAAAGCAACAACACCACTGTGTCCTTACCCAGCCCCGTGCTGGTCCTCGTGCTCAGATAAACCTTCTCCAGGTCCTCAAAATGCTGACTCAGTTTCCTCTTCTTCCTGGCTTCAGTCATTTCAAACGAAGGTCTGGCCTGTCAGATGCAGAGTTGAGAACACATCCAGAAAATTATACCCAGGACCTCGAAAAATCTGTTTTCCTTTCTAAATGAAACCACTGTCTATACATCTCATAAATTCCATCCTAGTCTGTAGATATATAAAGATAATAGTGCATGATGACTTTTGTCAAACCACAGCTGAGTAAATTCATGACACAGATCAAAATCTCAAAAGCCCTCCAAGAGCTCATGAAAAAGCATAGCCCTATGCCACGCACTGAACAAAGAATAAACAAAAATTTGTGGCATTTGGACAATTTCATTTCAGTTTCCTAACAAGCCTGACTATTATGTAAAAATTTTTATTTTTAAGTAGAGGTTTTACGGCACTCGCAACTGCATAAGGTCATATGAGGGCCAGAAGATTAGAGATGTTACAAGAGAGTAACAAACATAAAAAAGGAGGGGAGGTAAGGACGATAGATGTTTGATATGAAAGAAGAAACAAACCACACCAGAGCACCCGCCAACCACCCCCATTTTGTACATTGGAATTATCTAGAACATGTCATATGCATACACAATGACACCCACTGAAATTGAAAGCTGCTCTGCGATGTCATCTAACATACAAATTCATTGACAGCTATTACTTTTGAAACAAATTTCAAAGTAAAAAGAGAACAAGGAACCAGTCAAACCTCTCCATCTAAAAAAACCAAACTCTTGGCATATATATCTGCAAAAGGAAGCAACCCCCCCCCCCCCCACCCCTCCCCGCTACTCACAGCTGACCCGCCTGCAAACGACTCTGACGCAGGGCTGCCACTTCCTCCCTCGGCATCTGTGACGTCGTGAGCAGCGACACTTGAACTGCCACTGACACCAGCACTGACACCTCCGCTGCCAGCATCGATACCGCTGCTACTGCTGGTGCTGGCCACTGACAGGGAGGACAGACCTGAGGTATTGGGTACTAGGTGATCCTGAGGTGATGATAAAACAGATAAAACCAAGGTCACTACTAGTAGGAAAAGAGAGGATATCACAGGTCATGGCAAAACCACAAGCTAAACAAGGGCAACAGAGATTAAAGATAAGACACCAATATCTCAACTCAGGATAAGAACACGCACATCCTTAAACAAATATTCTATGGGGCCTGAATATTATGCTGCAATACATCTCCCCTCGACTCCCCTCCCCCCCCCCCAACGAAAAACAGAATTATCAGTCAAAATAATCATATGTTACTCCTTCCCCCATTTTCATTCTGAGCTCATGAGGAAAATATACACATCAGGGGCAGTAAGGGTTAATCTTAGTGATCTAGCAGTATTCCGTCATTACTCACAGGACAAGCCAGCTGTTTTTCTTCATGTTCCCTCAATGTTTCCTGTTGACAAAAGAAATATGAGAGTTAAAGCACAATACAAAAAAGCGAACACACTCAGAAATAAAAATTCAGACTGTTAAAGTTTATGTATTATATATTCTCACTTTGCCACAAAAACATACTTTGTTACTCATTTTCACTATTTGCACACTGAACCTGTCTTAACTACTCTATTTTTTAAAATTTTACATGTCGCTCAGACATAGTCATGAATTATTTTAGATCCAAACTAAATCTTAATAATATCAACTCTTTATCTCTGCCAGGTCACTCCCAGCAGCTCGTGGTCCAAACCACTCTGCCGGTGAGCGGGGCTCTGGCACATTCCTTTACAACGACTTCGACATCATATTACTTTTCTGTAGAAGCCGAAAACATTTTATAGGAAATTTCATTCATCAGATAAAGAACTATCAAAATGGGTCCACTTGTTTTGATTTCAAGACCAATTACGTGATGTTTTTGTCATTTTTAGATTTAGTACCAAAGAAGGGCCCGGCATAGTGGGTTCACCCCCCTCGGAGATAAAGAGTGAATCAAGGCATTCAATCTAACAAAAGACATAGAAAATACATGTCTCTCAACTCCGGGTCCCATTCTACGTGCTCACAATCCTGAACAAAGTGACACAAAGTACGACACACTAGCTAACTAACGCAAGTACAGTCACACTTCACTGACCCCAACAGCCTGGCAGTCCTGGTGCAAAAGTTCCAGCTGTCGCTTCACCTTGTCCAGCTCCTGAGACAAAACAGTTTTCAGAAAGAGTATTACGGCACTTGCAACACAATTAGGACATTATATGTAAGTGCCAAAGATTAGAGATTTTTCAAGAGAGTAACTAAGACAAAAAAGGAGGAGGGATAAGGACAACAGATGTTTGATAAGAGAGAAGGAGCAAACCACACCAGAGCACCCACCAACCACCCACTGAGACCCAAATCACTAATATTATTGCCAGTGAAGGCAATAACATTACAAAGAGGCAAAAGAGCAATGTACATCAACGCACGACAGCCAAATTTTACTTTTTTGGGGGGCGGGGTGCAGCAAAAGAAAAAAAAAAGCAGCAGAAAAAGAGTCATAGTCTGATCAAATAAAAACCAAAAAAACATAAAGCAATCTTTTCAGATAGCTATATTATTATTATTATATCTCTGTTTGATGATCTGTAAGGCAATTTTAAAACATTTCCCAGGAGAAAATTGTAGTGACATTCTCTGAGTACACAAATACATGCTTATATGCACAATAACATATATGCCTGCACATATCTAGGCTTGAGGGTGAGTGTTGATGTAATTGAACGTGAGAGTAAATGAAAAAGTGAAAGTATATACAGTGTACATCTGTGTATGAAAAAGAGAGAGAGAGAGAGAGGGAAAGAGAAAAGGAGATATATAGAGAAAGAGAGATAGATAGATAGATAGAGAGAGATAGATAGATAGATAGAGAGAGAGAGAGAGAGAGAGAGAGAGAGAGAGAGAGAGAGAGAGAGAGAAAGGAATACAGAGAGAACCAGTGAAAAAGAAAGGGAGAGTGTGAGAATGAGAGAAAGGGGGAGTGAAAGCGAGAGAGAAAGAGGTGAAGTGTATATCTAAAGTTTGTTGCACTTGAAAACACATAAGCAGCTGATCCACCCCCTACCTTTTCCTTCCGGTCACGAACTTCCTCGAGGAAGGTCTTAAGCATCCTGGTCTCAGCAACCTTTGACCCCTGCTCAAGCCGTTGCTTGCGCTGCACCAGAAGGGTCATGACATTGTTGATCTCCCCGAGGTCCCAGTCCTGCGACAGGAACTGCCACTCATGTACGCTCAGCTACAAACGGAGAAAAATATTTCATTCGATTATAAATTCAAGAGACGGGTTACTGTAGCCGACATGTTAAGAAAAAAAAAACATTCAACATTCTCCCCATATCTTTTTTCGAACGAGGTGAAAAAGCAAACCATTACCCAAGAGGCACTGATACATATGCTATTAGAAAGCCGAGAGAAAATTACGTTGGGCAGGCACACGCAACACCATTTTTCAAGAGCATCCTATCTGTCGCAATCCAAGGGGTCACAAACAGTGGGAAATAGATCTCGAGCCAAGCACAGCTGGCCGTGGAATCCACATACAGTACAGGTTCCAAGGAAAAAAAACCACTTATCAATCAGAACATGCGTCTTCAACCACAAAAAAATACTAGTTTCATTTCATTTTTTCATTGCCTTTATCTTAAAAATAAACATGCAACTTCTTTCTCTACCCTCCCCCCCCCCCTCCATCCCACCTTAGACAACACCATGTACAGCAAAACGGAACAACCTTTTTTAAAAATTGTATTAGTAAAAGTTTTACGGCACTTGCAATACACAATAAGGTCATATAAGTGACTAAGATTAGAGGTGTTACAAGAGAGTAACAAACACAAAATAGAAGGAGGGGAGGTAAGGACGACAGATGTTTGATAGGAAAAAAAGGAACAAACCACACCAGAGCACCTGCCAACCACCCACATAGAACAACCTACACCATCTACAACAAAACGCTGCACCCAACGGATCTCAAGCCCAAGGGTGGCTGCATGAACAGCACAACATCTACAACAAAATCAATCTACACCCAGAGTGGTCAGAATATTATATATATATATATATATATATATCACTGACCTGTTTGTCCATCGCATTCCTCTGTTCATCCAGTCTGTGTTTCCTGATCAGCTCTGTCACTGTGGGTGAAGACAATGTTAATTAAGAGGTAGAAACATTCAAAACGGAGCTAGAGAATGGCAGCAATCATAAGAATATTCAGAGAATAACACATTATAGACTATGTATCACACAAACCGGCCAAATCTCCAATTAAACCAAAAAGACTGCATCATTGTCTTACAGTGAAAAATAGTTCATCCATAAGCTGTGGTAATACCCTAAGAGCAAACAGAAATGCACTACAAAAGTCTTTTCATTATGAGAAAAAAAAACCCCAAAAAACTAAGGAAATGAGATTAAAACAGGCATTTTCAGTCTTGGCCCCTTCCACTGTATAATTATTTCAGCAACGACAGTGCCTATTCCTCTTTCAAACCAATGGACACTAAAGCTAAGGTGACCCTGTTAATTTACGTTTGAAATCGGGGGAGATATATGAAGGACTTGTGCACTTAAGTGTGAAATTGGGGAAGATATGAGAAGGACTTGTGGACTTGTGTGTGAAATTGGGGAAGATATGTGAAGGACTTGTGGACTTGTGTGTGAAATTGGGGAAGATATGTGAAGGACTTGTGGACTTGTGTGTAAATTGGGGAAGATATGTGAAGGACTTGTGGACTTATGTGGGAAATTGGGGAAGATATGTGAAGGACTTGTGGATTTATGTGTGAAATTGGGGAAGATATGTGAAGGACTTGTGGATTTATGTGTGAAATTGGGGAAGATATGTGAAGGACTTGTGGACTTATGTGTGAAATTGGGGAAGACAAGTGATGGACTTTTGGACTTATGTTTGAAATTGGGGAAGATGTATGAAGGACTCATGGACTGACGTGTGAAATCGGGGGAGATATACGAAGGACTCGAGGACTTACGTGTGAAATTGGGGAAGATGTGTGATGGACTCTCAATAGGAATGCCACAGCGGGGACACCGGTTGTTCTTCTCCAGACTTTTCTTGATGCAGTCATGGCTGCAACACGAGACAATACACAGAAATTATTATACAGGGCAAAAAGTATCTGCTGAAAACAAGCATCTTAATAACAGTAAATAAACTATATAATTACAGAAACAGAAAAGACAATGAGAAATCATTTCATATTTTTCACAAAAAGACAAAAACACCAAGATTAAAGGTCACATTTTCAGGGGCAATTTAAGACATATATCCAATGTGTTGAAGAAGAGAATCCTTTAAAGAATTACAACTTAAAAGTCTAAAACATTTTGAACACAAAAGAGTTAGCACCAATAACTGACGCCTCCATAAGTGAATTAGACAACTCACGACCTCAGTGCTTTCTTGTTCTATCTCCATTTTTTTTAAATATTGAAAATGTGACTTCTTCTAAGCTCACTCTTTGTCATGAACTGTTTTCACTGTTATTAAAAAAGGAGATAGAGGACAAGAAAGCACTGAGGTCGCGAACTGCTTCTGGATAAAGTATCACCATTATTACACTGAAATTCTGTGAACAACGAGAGTCATAACTAGTTCAAAATAGTAAATTATTTAAATGGCACAATTTTTAAAACTCACCAAAACGAGTGTCCACACTTTGTCATGTACGCTTCATCTATGCAGTCAAAGCAGATAGGACTGTTGAATGAGTAAGAACATACAAATTTTGTCAATATGAAAATACTCAAAAGCTCATTACACAAACACAGACATCCATTTACTTCTTTTTTCACACCTCTACCAATAAAATCCAAACTAAAGGAACATGACATGGTACTTTCTCCGCATTTTTAACAAGTCAAAAAAAAAACAACCTCAAAAAACCCCAGCAACTACAGTACAGCAATAAATTATAATTCATGCAGAACTGAGTGAACGGTGTAGAGAGACAGAGTTATCAACTTGCAAAATACACTCTTGACATCAGTGAGATACCTTAACATCAATCACAGTTATCACTCAATAAGCTATCAGAATCAGCATAACAAGTCATTAAAACAAAATTGCATGCAAAAAAGCCATACTTTACACTGATGAAGTAAAACCCACTAAAGCGTTGAAATTGAAGTAATTATTGTTCATTTCATTTTGCAGCCCTTTTGATTCTAACCTGGAAGGGCCTCCCTCTTTATGGAACAAGAAAAATAAAACTCCAACATTCCAAACACCTGGGAAGCAAAAAAATCACAAAGCAGCTACTACTGTCGACAGCACATTCACATGAAACAATTTCACTATGATCTCTTGATGCTTTTTATACTTATAATAAATACTCAAGGGTGTAAGTTCAAAGTACAAACAATAGTCATTACAACATGTTAGATCTTGAATTAAATATTGGACATCAACCGACATGGTACTGCAAAATAAGACTTCTATTGAAAGGAAATATTTGCAATGGACACAATACAAGCCTTGATTATAATCTGATTCTATACCGGTAGTTTGACCAAAAGTGAACCTTACCATATGAAGTCATTATTGATGCTTTTGTAGGACCCATCCTGGCCTCCGTACACTGGCGTGGCTGGTCGCTTTCGGGGTCTCCGGGTCAGGGGCTGAGGAGTTCTGGACATCATGGTGGCATCGGGACCCTCTGTTGTCTACCGTGTGGCTCCTATAACTGACTAACTATGGATTCTAGCTGAAACAAAAAGTAGTATAGCAAAGTGAATGCTGAATGAAAGAGAAAGTCCTCATAAACATAACATTACATACATGATGATAGAAACATAACATTACATACATGATGATAGGTCTACAAAAAAGGCGATTGGCACTACATCAAAGTCAAATTAAGGTAATCCTTATCTTCTGCGGTCCCTACGAGTTACTACGACTTAGTTGTTTATGCTCGGCAAACGAGATTGCCAGTTAAGTTGTGAGAATAGATATGCTGATGAAGAATTAAATTATTTCTGGAAGTTTTGATTATTTTAGTAAGTATTGAGAAAAATAAATCGTTGTGCCAATGGGTTTTTTTAGGGACAGGGGTCAAGATTTTAAATTGTTTTTGGCAGGATTTAACTTTGGTGGACCCACGGTGTTTACATCATGTTATAAATGCGCACTAGCCATACAACAGTGGAGAGGGGTATCAGGGGGGCTGCCCCCTGGCAACAATAATTATATTTTTAAAAAGGATTTAATTTTTTAAAATTTTCCATCTGTGATGCGGTGGGAAACATCAAAATGACGTGTGTGTGTATGACAATCTGGCATTCCCGTGAGTAATCTACCAGAAGTCTCCGGCGGTCTCATTGCCAATATAACACAAACTTGTAGGGACCGCAGAAGAAACAGTAAGGGTCACCCAAATTAATCTTACTAAGTAAGAAAAGGGGTCAGAACAGTACTGACAACATCACTCTACTTTTTCAACATTTTGAAGCAAACTGAAGAAAGAACAGACTACGTAAATCCATAATATCAAGAGCAAAAAAAGGAAGGTCTCATAAACCAAACTAAAAGAAGCTTTTCAAACAACAACAGAAGTGCAGATTCTGAAGAAGTTTAGGCTATTAATATAAAATCAGCTGAATTGCAAATACCACAGCTGACCCGGTAACATTTAAAACAACACAAAGCAGACAGGGGTGATTTTGTAGTTTCGTTCGTTTAAGTCCAAAGCTGAACGTCAGAGACCCTGAATTGCCAGGTAATCGTTGAGGAGTGAACTAAGCGTGAGACTGGAAGGAAACTCTATTTAACCAGAAAATCCAATAAATTCAAGCAAAGAATGGCCCTTATTCGGCAGTTCCCACCTTGCCCAATTATTTATTATTCGCCAATTGGGGCCACAAGAGTCAAGAGTAGGGGGGTTTCAGGATGGCTTGCCCCCCTGGCCCAATAAAAATAGGGAGGGGGGGGGGGATCAGAGGTGGAAGGGGGGTTCAAAATTTATCATTTGATGTTTTTTACAGTTAGGCCTATGTTGCATCCTTGTTCTTAGTGTTGCCTATTTGGTCATCAAGACTTCCGGATTTTTTCTCTGGATGTAAACAAATGGATCGTGGAATTTACGGAACGGAACTTACAAGATTACCCAGACAGGATGTCTGAATGCACTTGAACTTGAATGAAGGCCTACAGTTAAGTAGCCTTCTAAACCTACAGAAAATACAAACTCAAATAAGACTAAATGACTAAATGATCTAGAAAAGTTAAAAGTCCAATAGAATATCTAGATCTAGATCTAGGTTCTAAATCAAAGATGATAGATATATAATATATATAGATTCTATAGAATTTAGAATCTATTTTGTTTGAGTCACAAGGAGTAGGAGGAAAGGAAAGGCAGGTCCTGCACTTCACTTGAACTTGAACGTTTTTGTCATTTCTTAGACTTAGATTCTGCTCATTTAGCACAGGAAGCAACAAATTATAATTCTGGAAAAATGAACACATCACCAAATGCATCCAAGGATGTAAGTGAAACTGACTGTAAAAATAGTAACTTACTCAGTAAAAGTAAAGTCACCACTGGCTGGCACTAGAGTCTACAAACAACAGCGCTGGCAGCACTGCTGCACAGCGTCAATAGAAGAACGGACAAAAAACCACGAGCAGTCCCTTGCAAGTTCATGTGAATACCTTTGCAATTCCAGTCGATCTCAACCAAACGTGTCGAAGCAAATAATTATACGTTAACTTGCCATTAGAGGGTATCATCAAAAGTGTACGATGCATTCAATGAGAAAAGGTATGAAAATAATCCCTGAACGTAGCTTCAGCAGACTGTTACACCTTGGGTAATCAAACACTATGCAGTATGCACTGTATGACCCCACAGAGATTGCCACTTTGATCAAGATATGACCGGAAGAAATCCAACTTTTCTTTTTACCTCTATCCAAATTTTTTTTTTAACTGCTGGGCTTACAATAAACCTCTCAGGATTACTTTGGTATTTTGGCGTTAAAAAAACTTGAGAAATGTAAACAACATAGCGGCAGGGGCACTGTTTGAAGCTGAAGAAAGGACAGACAATTTATGAATTGTAGACAAGAACTGTATTATTCGAGAATAACAGTATTTGAAATGTCATACGGAGTAATTGGCCCCAGCTCCAGCTCCGGTTCAAAACAAAAAGAATCTGGTGCCCAGGTATTATTCTGTCTGCGGGTGTCAGTGGTAAAAATTCGGCGCTTTTTCGGTAGTTCCCACCCCGCAATTGTTATTAGCCGGTTTAGGCCTCAAGAGAGGCCCGGGGTTGCAGGGGGGCTTGCCCCCCTGGCTTCAATAAAAATGTGGTGGGGGGGTTTCTGGGGGGCATGCCCCCCTGAATTTTACCATAATTTGATGTTTTGCACTTGTTAGGTTTGATATCTTAGCTCGCATCAAACGTAGTATAGATCTAGATTCTAGATCCCGATGTAGGTCAGGCTCAAAATATAAGGGGGATGGGAACTACCGAAAAAGCACCAAAAATTCTTCGTCTGCTGCAACTTAGAATCTTACTAGATCTACTACTAGATCTAGATCTAGAGATCTAGATCTAGAATCTAGATCTAGATCTAGATCTACGGCAGATCTAGATTCTAGAGTTAGAGCTCTAGATCTAGATCTAGAAATCTAGATGAATGGGCTTTCTCCAGTTTTGACCCACAAGAGTACTAAAGTACTATACTGGATATCTAAATCTAGATCTAGATCTTGATCTAGATATCTAGATCTAGATCTACTATAATACTGACTTAAAAATACTCAGTATTGGTGTTTTATCTGAAAGATAGAATCTAATCTAGAATAGATTTTTTCTAGTAGATCTAGATTCTAGATCTAGAATCTAGATAGGAAGTGGCTATCCTCACCAGGGGTGAGAATAAAAATACAATCTACCTCTCACCCTGGGTGAGACTTGCCAGCGTAGGCTATTCTCACCCGGTGTGAAACAAGACCTGTTTTTCCTCATTTCGGAAAACTGTCTATCGGTGTGGATGATCAAATTGATAAAAGCCACACAAAAAATACGTCATAGCACAAAAGAAAGTTAATTTGATCGTCTACAAAGATGCATGGCTATTTCACTTTTCGAATCGAGCCGAACTACGCGGGTCGCCATTTTGTTTTGCCCGGAAGTTCTCACAAGATCTACTCCTCCCCTCTCTCTCTGTCTCTCTTTCTCTTTCTGAATACTGTCTATCGGTGTGGACGATCAACAAAACAAAGTTAAAAAGTGATGTTAAAACACAAAACTAAATTAATTTGGTCGTCTACTACAAAGATGCTACGGCTATTTAACTTTCCGAATCGAGCCGAACTACGCGTGTCGCCATTTTGTTTTGCCCGGAAGTTCTCGCGCTACTCCTCTCTCTCTCTCTTTCTCTCTGTCCTCTGCCCACAGACAAAATTGCACGCTTTTACTTTTAGGCTAACACAAGTAATAGATCTAGAACGTTTGTTCATGGCACAGATTCTACAATTCTGTTATCACAGTGTAGAATTCTGAGAATTTTGTGGTTCAGGGTTCATTGGTTGGCCTAGGCTATTATAACGGTGAACGCCCACCGGGTGACAATAGCCAAAAGACTCGCCTGCACTATTCTCACCCGAGGTAAGAATAGAGGAGGTGGCCATCTAGATAATTAATCTAGATTCTATATATATAGATCTAGAATCTAGATCTAATCTATATGGCCACCTCTTTTGGCTATTCTCACCCGGTGTGCGTTCACCGTTATAGCCTAGATCTAGACCAACCAATTTTGCGTTTACCCTGAACCACAGAATTCTACACTATGATAACAGAAAAATTGTAGAATTCTGTGCCGTGAACAAACATTCCATTACTACTGTTGTTAGCCTAAAAGCGTACAATTTTGTCTGTGGGCAGTGGGGAGAGAGAGAGAGAGAGAAGTAGCGCGAGAACTTCCGGGCAAAACAAAATGGCGACCCGCGTAGTTCGGCTCGATTCGAAAAGTTAAATAGCCATAGCATCTTTGTAGACGATCAAATTAGCTTTCTTTGCTTTTATCCATTTGATCATCCACACCGATAGACAGTTGTATTCCGAAATTAGAAAAAACAGGTCTTGTTTCACACCGGGTGAGAATAGCCAACGGTGGCAAGTCTCACCCGCGGTGAGATGTCGATTGTATTTTTATTCTCGCCCCGGGGGAGGATAGCCACTTCCAATCTATGTGATAGATGCACTGCTATTGTTCAGTTGCCTACAAAATGAGGAGTAGGCTACCTCTTCTTCTTTTTCTCGATTGCATCACACTTGAAGTCTGGTATCTCTGTCATAAATTGGGCCGTCCTGCTCAGTTCATCTGTCGGCCCTATACTCTGTTAGCGTCAGTGGGGTTGGCCACGTTTCCTGTCTCAGGGCCCTGTGTGTCTTATAGTGCTGAAGGATGTGTTCAACAGTTTGGCCCGCCTCTCCACACTGGCATTTTGATGATTGTGCTAGATCTAGATTCTAGTTTAAAACATCTGTGCATACATTATATGTTGTCACAGTCTTGTGTGTTGTGTCCTTAGTCGGAAGATCTTGCTCTTGGCGGGACAGCTCATGGTAGCTATCTGGTGTCTGAGGTGCTTTAAATAGTGTATTTATGATAGTTTTTATTTCTGTGTAGCTACGCTGTTGTTGTTGAATGACAGACTGTGGAACTTACTCCCAAAACGACAAACCTGTTATCCATTTATAAATTTATTATATAGAGATGAGAAAACAAAATCCACAATTTTTGTTTTTTCTTTTTTGTCATTTAAAGAAACTACAGATTAGAACATATTAGATTTATTATATATAAAGATATATATATATATATATATATATATATATACACACAGTCGAACCTGCCCTGACGGCCACCTCTATAAGACGGCCATCTGTACAAACGGCCACTTTCCATTTCCCCCCTTGCGTTTTTTCTATATAATTTAACTGTGTAAAACAGGCCGTGGCCACCATATTTTAACACACAACCAACCCCTATCACACTAAGCAAAAACACCTGTCTTAGACGGCCACGTTAGTGACTCCATTACGTTTTGTCATAAATTGTGCATTGGCCCCTGGCGTTTTGGGCGAGCCGTCATAATTCAATCACCTGTCGTTGTTGTTAGGTAGTCCCTCCAACCGATCATGTTGCGTAGGCCCCTCCCACTGTTGACCAATAGGTAGGCTACCAATTTTCAGCTGCTGGTGAGGTAAGCGTGTGATCCCTCATAACCCATAAGCCCCGCCCAGAACTCATACACAAATCGTAAGTGAGATGAGTGGCCACTGTTTACCCAGTCTGTAACAAAGTAACAAAGGACGTCAACATGAACTTGTGACAGAAGCGTTGCTCGTTCTCCGAGTGGTGGCGACCAATGTGTCTGTTTTAACATGGCACTCGATTCTTCCTCGTTGATACATTTCGTTTTATTGTCCCCCTTGTGCAAAATCAGCAACAAAATAAAAATTACAAACAAAATACAAGCTAACAGCAAAAACAACAGCAATGCGGCTACTTTCGATTGGGACCTCAGATGGGAATGGGTTTATTTTCTTCATCTTGATCAGTCCTGCCTAAGACGGCCACCTGCCTTATACGGCCACTTTTCTCCTTGACAATTGGTGGCCGTCTTACACAGGTTTGACTGTATATATATAGATAGATAGATAGATAGATTTTAGTCTACATCTATTCTAGTGAAAATGCTCTCCTCTATTAGATTTTTCTCATTTCTCATTCTAAACACTCTAACTCTAAACTGAAAAGAATTTTGAAGGTTATGTTATGTAATTCTTCACTAACTCCTCTCAAAAAATGCTAATGATCATCAAGTTTTATGCTAGAGAGAACTTAAAGAGAATTGCTTGACCTTTGTTGTTCAGTTCTCAATAAAAAGACTTTTCAGTGTGGTGAACCAGAAAAAAAAAAAGAAGTAGCAGATTGAACCTCAGATGAAATGGAAATAGCTAAGGGACATAATCTGTATTTATAATTGCTGTGATTTTAGTGATGAATTACTCCCCATTACTATGCATGCCATTTGAGTGATCTCTCGAGACCAATACTATAATTCAATCGAAGAGAAAAAAAATCTCCTCTGTATCTCTATCTTATCATTGATCCAGTGCTCTAGCTTGCTAGAGAGAGTGAGGGGGGAGAAAGAGTTTGGGGGGTGGGGGGGGGGGGGGGCAGGGGACTGGGGGCAGATGGAATTAATAGAGCTGGATGATGATGATACAGTCAAACCTGCCATGACGGCCACCTGAACCCACGACTACTTTCCATTTACCCCTATGCGTTTTTTCTCTATAATTTTACTGTGTAAAAGGGCCAACCTGTCCAACGCGACAGCGGCCACCATATTTTAACACACAAGCCCTGTCACACCAAATAACACCTGTCTTAGATGGCCATCTCAGTGATTCCATTACGTTTTGTCTATAAACTATGTGTACTGGCCCCTGACATTGTGGATGAACCGTCATAATGATAGAGCACGGTCGTGCAGTGCCGCCCAACATTTTTTAATGGTCTATTACGTAAAACACCCACAATAATAAAATAAAAGCCAGAAACAAACATCAGCAACATAATAAAAAGCAAACAAAAAAAACAACATCGAAAACAACAACAAATATGCAGCTACCTTTGATTGGGACCTCAGAAGTAAATGGTTTATTTTCTTCTTTCTGATCAGTCCTGCCTAAGATGGCCAGCTGTCTTATAGTTGTTATACAGCCACTTTTCTCCTCAACAGTTAGTGACCGTCTAACACAGGTTTGACTGTATTTTGCAAGTGTATCTTTGCGAATGATTATTTGTTCTATTCGGTTTTGAGTTGTGATTTGGTTCTAAACACTAATGCACCAAGAACCACAGTGGAGCGGGTACTATTTATATGTATGTAAAGAAACTTTATTATTAGTATTTTACTTTTGTTATATTTTATATTCCAGCAATAGGATTGTGTTTAAGCCGAAATGCTGACGATACATATATATATATGTCTCGATGCAGTGGAATCAAGCGCTCATCAATTTTTGGGCATATGGAGTTGTTGGTGTCATCTTAAAGGCTGTTCATTTGCCTTGCTTTATCTTGAAAAGGAGTCGAGATATTTGCGATTGAAGGAGGCAGGGTCACCTGGTTTCAGAAGTAAAATTTGCGGGAAAATGGCCGCCAAAGTTTGGTGACTTCCATAGCTTAAGAGTCCTTGGAAACTGCAAATTTTCCTTTTTTGTGCCTTTAACCAACATTTTTACCCAAAAAATCCACACATAAAAGTGTTTTTGAATGGACGTACAAGGTGTTGACCCAAAAGCAACATTTTTTTTAAAATATCCAAACTGACCGAAAAATGCCTATTTCTCGGATTTCATTTTTTTGACGAGCACCTGATTTCGCTACAATGCCTCACAAATTATATCACATACTGGGGAGGCGAAAAATAGTTTATAAAGAAAATAACAGGTTTTGATGTTCCCCTTTCTTTTCAGTTACTGACAAAGCTTACTATTTTAATAGCTTGCTAGCATTAGAATTTGGGAGATTTTATTTTTTGCTTGGTTAATTTCACAGAACCACAAAATGAGATGGCAATGGGCCGGTGACATGACAGTCTAAATGCTTCAGTCCTACACAACACTTTGCTTTTAAAAATTATCCTCTATCTAGAATAACTGTCAATAAACGCTTTTTGATTTTTCTGCTTCCAGCTCCTTGCTCGACTCAGTCCACGGCCGTGTCTGACCGCAGTTGACCCCCTCATTTTTGGCACATTGTCGCAACCCAAGACATCAACAGGAGTGACCAGGAAGGTGATTGAGCTGTATGGGAGCGAAGGTGTCGGCAAGTCCCAACTGGCGCTGCATCTGGCCGCCCGCACGTGTTTGCCGCCTCAGGTCAAAGGATTATCACTTGGGGGTCTAGGAGCAAAAGTAGTTTTCATTGACACAGATTTTAAATTTTCAGCCTTTCAGCTTGCAGTCTTTTTAGAAAGACTGGTTTTGTCTGCTGTAGAGAGTCAGTCACAGTCACCAGATGTTGGTGAATTAAAGAAAAATGCTGAGTCAGTAGAACATCAAGGCACTCCCTGTAAGAAAATGAAATTAGATCTGGATTGTCTAAATGAAAATGTAGAGGGAAACAAGGACTGTAATGTGAAAGAGAAATGTGACAAAAATGTGGAATCTCATCAAAGCACAGTGAAATCAAACAGTACAGACCCCAAACTTGCACTTTTGTCAGGCAACTGTTCAAGTCTTTCTGACAAAACTCAAAAAGAGGATATTAAACCCAGCAACAGTTATGATGACAGAACCTTGGAGACAGATTTTAATGTTTCAAATCCAGAAAAAGGGCTATATCCACAATCTGAGAGTGTGGTGGCAAAGACAAAGGACACTTGGAATCAGAAAACACAGGCTGGAAATTCTGACGAAGCTGTGAACAGTAGAGTGGTCAGCCTCTCCACAAAAGAGGTTGACCACTTGGTCCAGCAAAGCTTGAGCAATGTTCAGGTGTTACGTGTGTCCAGCTCCCAGCAGTTGCTGGTCACTCTTCACTCACTGCAGGACCTGCTGCTCTCAGACACTGATGTCTCTCTCGTGATCATCGACTCAATCTCGGCGTTCTATTGGCATGACAAATCCTCAGAGCCAGCCAACATGAGTTGCACTGAGCAGAAAATGAAACCAGTGGTCGAAGTTATCTCCAAACTGTCCTCAGAGTTCTATGTGACATTTCTCGTGACAAAGTCAGCGCTGATAGGGAGTAAAAGAAAGCGAGCAGAAGACGATTTTTATCAAGGAAATAATAATATGAAGGGAACTTCTGCAGATAAGACACAACATGGGTCATATTTGACTGAGCCCCAGTGTGAGCATGTCGAATTTTTAGGCAAGTCGTGGCTCGAACTGCAGCCCAAAAGAATAGTTCTCTCTCGCAGGCTCAACCATCAAAGACAGACGGAGTTTGTGGCTTCCTCACCATTATGGTCTAGTGACAGGACATTTGCCATTATTAACGACCATCTCAGGTTTTTGTGACCCCATTACCATTATGTGTCTTTCTGTTGAGCCAAGTTTTGTGTTTGTGTTAAGAGATTTGATCTTTTCAATTTCATTTCGGACCTGATGGTTCTTATTTATATCAGTATTTATTATAATATTTTGACTCTTAGTAGGGCCTACAGATCTTGACTTTCATTGGAAACCTAAACTGTTTGACAGTAATGATGGTGACTGATTCAAAAGCACAAATTCAGACAAAATTTTAATAGTAGAGAGAGGATTGATCAATTAAACTGTAATCATCTATTATTTCTATACTTGTACAGGCCTACTGCTCAGAAAAGAACGTGCATTTGCTTGTTTCTTAAGCTTGCAACCAGCAGCAAAATGATGGCCAATCTCATTTAAATTTATTGTCTGCGCATATGTGATGAAATGTTTGTGAGCAGTGTAAGTGAACTTTTTTTCCTCTTTGTTACTTTCAAATATAAAATGCTTTTAACTCAAACTCAATTGTACATGGTAAATACTTTTGAAAGTTTTATTCTATCACTGTCATTAATTTGTTTGACAAAAAAGATATATATGTTGTTGTGAAGTACTGTGATCTTCATCAGTATTTATCATCATCATCGTCATCATCAGTATTTATCGTCATATCATCATCTTTATTGTTGGAGCGTGATAAAGATTTTTAAAAATATTGGAGACTTGAGTATTGTTATTATTAATCTTTATCATGGTCATTATCTTTCTCACCGACCCTGCACCAGGGTACATGTATAGGCCACGAACAGACACATTCCACCTTTCTCTATCCTGGGCTAGTCTCTTGATGTTACTCCATGTCTTCCCACTTTTCTGTTCATCCATTTCTGTGATTCTTCTCCTCGTTCTCGCGGTCTTCCCCTTGAGTGCCTTGATCTTTTTTTACCCTGTGGATTCCAATCCAACACTTTCTTTGATTAGCAGCTGCCTAACTTCCTGAGAACATGTCCAATCTATCGACACCGCCTTCTCCCTATTTCATCTCTGACTGGGATCTGTCTTGTTTTCCTTAACACTTTCTTGTTGGTTACCCTACTGTCTGTCCCCCTGATCCTCAGTAACTTTCTTAAACACTTGTTCAAGAAAACCAGGATCAGCTTTATGCAAGCCTGAGATGTGATCTATGTCTCACATATCTTATAAAAGGACTGACTTCATATTTGGATTGAAAATCTTCAGCTTTGTTCGAAATGAGATATCCCTGGTCTTCCAAATCCTATTCAAAGATGAAAACGTCCTGTGCTTTTCCAATGCGGGACTTTATTTCGGCACCTGTTCCTCCCTCTCTATCAATGATACTCCAAAGATAGTAGAAGGATTCAACGTCTTCGAGTGCATTTCCTTCTATTGTGACCTGCTCCTTTTGTTGTACATCTGTCCATAAGACTTTTGAGTTTCCGGGGTGGATCCTCAATCCAACAGACTCTGATGGTGATAGGCTGTTTATAACTGAAGTCTTTGCTTGCATCTGTTCATGGGTGTGCAACAGAAGCGCCAAATCGTCTGCAAAATCCAGATCATCCAACTGTGTCCATGGGTTCCACTGTATACCATTTCTGTTTCCTCTGGTGGTTTCTTTCATCAGCCAATAGACCGCCACTTTGAAGAGATCACAAACAAGCGATTCCCACCCTCCTTTGTCCCGGACAAGCTTTCCTAACTGGGTCGCGTTACGCACTGCGTCACATTTCTTTTCCCAAATATCGGCTATCTCTTAGTTTCAAGCTTCAGCTGTGAACTCTTGACCGCTGGATGTCCGATTGAGTGGGGGGAGGGGGGGGGGGCTGCAGGAACTCGCTGGTGTTTTAACTGAGCCTGGCCACTGACCACTGCCAATCGGTTGTGAATCCTGATCAAAAAGTGAGAGAATCAGTGCATTTTGGAATACTCGCCCAGAAATTTCCAGATAAAATATCTTCTACTTCTACTGCATGATAGGCTTCCCACGTACATGTTAGACAAGACAAAGCACCATTCTTTATATCTTTCAGTTAGATCCGTGTTTCTACAACACCTTCAGTTTTTGTGTTCTATCAGTATCATTCGGCATTTCCAGGAGGGGAAACGATTTTTTAAACTTATTCTCACAGCAGCGCTTGGCCGACCGGCAGTGTGTTGCCCGGACTCTGACCCCGGGGTCACGCTGACCTCACGGCGCGCGCGTTCACGCGAATGTGACACGGTGTACGAATGAGTTGGCCAATTCGGTCCAAGTAAAGGACCTCACACTGTCCCCGTCGTTTTATGCAAGAAAAATTCTGAAATTATGCAAACTGAGCCCAAAAATGTGAAATTATGCGATTCTGTTAATTTTTAACAAAGAATGATAAGGAAAATGATTAGAAATTAGGCAAAAAATTGATCAAATTTTATAAAATTATGCAGAGTGCATAAAAACCACGGGGACAGCTTACAACAGTAACTGTTACTGTACACGTCTTTGGTCCAAGTACATGTACAAGCTTTTATTTTGATGTAGGCTACACTCATGACATATTTGGCAGTTAGATCAAATGCCTTTCTTTCGAATCCTCTGATACTACATGTATTTCTGTTGTCCAGATTTTTATGTTTATTTTATTTTATTTTATTTATTTATTTTATTTATGTAATATTTACTCATTTATAATTTATTGCTGCACTTTTTATTTTTTATGTTTTATTTTATTTCAAAATAATTTTTTTAATTTTTTGTTTGTTTGTTGTTTTTTTTGGGGGGGGGGCTACAGAGCGGATGGCAGTGGTTCGAATCCTCAACAGGGCGTTCTGAATTTGAGTTGAGCGAATATTTAAGGCTCACCTCCCTTTTGGCTCAGTCATATCCAGTCATTGCAGGTCATATCGACGGAGGTCCAGTCTTTTCTCAAATTAACCCACGGGGTTGAAAGATTCGTTAATTAAACTTGTACAATGACCACCAAGGTCTTTCTGAACAGGCTGTGCATGATTTCCGCTGTTGTGGGAATGTGTGCTGTGTGCTTCCAATACCTGGGTTGGGGGGGGGGGGGGGGGGGGCTGTCCAGAGGTAGTTGGTTCAGGAGCTGGTTAAAGCGGTGTTCATAACATACAATAATGACCGTATTAATATTAATTAAGTTGTCTCTCTCTGTGCTGAAAAATGCATTTCCCTGCGGGTCTTTCAATGGTATTGCAGAATGTTCTCTGCTCCCTAGATAAGGTTCTTCGTTAGCGCAGTTAGTATCGCTCTAGACGAAAGAGCAGGTATTCCCGGTTCGAATCCCCAACTCGACGTTTGAACTTGGGTTGTTTTGGGGGAGGTTTTTGGTTCTTCATCCATTTGGCTTGGTCCTATTCCTATTGGAGATGGACGGTAAATTTGGAGGTACGGCCTCGTAAATAACGTTACAGTGTTGAAAAAAGGCGTTAACCTACAACTACAACAACAACAACAACAACAACAACAGCAACAACAACATGAGAGGGTCTTTGTATATCCTCACGTGGCCACTTTCACCGGTTTTCCGAGCTCTTTCTGTCTGTCCTTCCAAGTATTGTTCAGCTACTTTTGTCTGCCTTGGAGTACTTTGAGAAGTGTTTAACTTTTTTGTGCATTATCTGGTTCGTGTCCTGTTCTTGCTTTCTTCTGGCTTCATCTCTCTCTCTCTCTCTCTCTCTCTCTCTCTCTCTCTCTCTCTCTCTCTCTCTCTCTCTCTCTCTATCTATCTCTCTCTATCTCTCTCTCTCTTTCTCTCTCTCTCTCTCTCTCTCTCTCTCTCTCTCTCTCTCTCTCTCTCTCACTGCGGGTGGTTGGCGGGTGTTCTCTCTCTCTCTCTCTCTCTCTCTCTCTCTCTCTCTCTCTCTCTCTCTCTCACTGCGGGTGGTTGGCGAGTCTCTTGAAACACCTCTAATCTTCGGCACTTTAAGTTTAACGTATATGTCCTTATTGTGTTGCAAGTGTCGTAAAACTCTACTAAAACATCTCTCTCTTTCTCAGCGTTTTTGTATCTAGTGCAAGGATCCAGGTGTAATCCATCCATTAGATGCATTCCTCTTAGGCCCGACAAAGTTTTAAAATGGTATAGGTTTAACGCCCCTATCAACACAGTTAAGTTATTTAAGAGGCGAGACCTCCAAGTTTAACGTCCATCTCCGAAAAGACTGGGCCAAGAGGGCAATTCGTGTAAATTGTCTTCCCCAGGGACACAACGTCAGACCGCGCCGCGCCGAGGCTCGAACCATGAACCCGCAACCCCACGATTATGAATCTGGTAGCCTAACCACAAAGATACCGACGCCACCTCACGAAGCTATCAGTTACTACATACTACATGTAGTATCCAACGACGACTCTCAACAGAGGAGAAGCAATTTGAAACAAAACCCCTGTAATTTTGTTTTTGTTTAATTAAACAGAAACAACACCCCTTTCAACACAAGGCCATGAATTGTAAATCTTTACTCATACTTCGACACAACTCAGATAATGTTTAAGAGGCAGAAGCGGGTTTCTTCAATCCTGCCTGTCAAGGCCACCCCAGGCTGAGTGCAAAACATGACCTAACGCAGTTGCGAGCCCCGTTAAACCCTTACTAAGAGAGTGCAAAACAATATTCCAGCACATAGAAGGAGATATGAGAAAAAATAGATTTTCCAATGTCGGGATCAAACTCACGTCTTTTGTCACGTGTGCAGCGCCGAAGAGTAAAATAATTTTAAAAACACTTCATGTCTACCATGTAACGACGACAGCAAATGTATTGACAGTGGCGTGTCAGTACCTCCACTGACTCTACGCATCCAAAACGCTAGTACCTTCTTCTTCTTCTTCTTCTTCTTCTTCTTCTTCTTCTTCTTCTTCTTCTTCTCCTCCTCCTCCTCCTCCTCCTCCTCCTCCTCCTCCTCCTCAATCAAAGCACCCTGTATCATTTAGGCTGCTTACATAAATTTTCCATTCTTCTTCTAAAAGTAGGTCATAAGGTTCTCATAAAAGCTGATCACAAGGTTTACAGCGGAAAAAGAATTAAAACCCCGCAGAGACTGGGGAATGTTTAAATTCATGTAGGCCTGTAAGTCCTACAGGTTGAAGTATCTTTGGCATGGGGCTCTCCACATAAAAAAATAGCTTAGAATCATGGATCTGGAAATTAAGATCTTCGGCATACTGCGGATCAGACCTGGTTTTTATGTGGAGGTGCATATACATGTGAGAATAACACGCTAGAGTCTATGCTTTTAGGTCGCTGCTGGCACGAAGCTTTTAGCGTTGAGAAACACTTGTTGCTGGGGTAGAGCATCTTTTTCACCAGTTATCAGATTAGAACAAGAGGGTCTAGGGACTGAGATGAGTTTGGTAACAATGCATCCTGTAATATATATATATTTAAATTGATATTGATATATATATATATATATATATAGAGAGAGAGAGAGAGAGAGAGAGAGAGAGAGAGAGAGAGAGAGAGAGAGAGAGAGATGGAGAGAGAGAGATTATTTTATACACAGCCTGATGCTTTGTTCTATTAAGGTGAGTGATGGATCAAGAGATGACATTACAAGAATTTCTTACCAGAAGTGATACGTCCTCATAGTGCATGGATCTGATGATGGTGTAAGCACGTATGTTCTCTAATGTAAGTAGGAGGAATCCTGCTCCTTTGATCACAAATGATGGACCTTGGTGTAAGTCATTTTTAAAG